AAATGGATGGATGGATGGATGGATGGATGGATAAATGGATGGATGGATGGATGGATGGATGGATAAATGGATGGATGGATGGATGGATGGATGGATGGATAAATGGATGATGGATGGATAAATGGATGGATGGATGTATGGATGGATGGACAGGTTATGACTTTAATGAGTCAGTTGTTCCTCCTGGTCATCAGTAGATGATTAGAGGCAGAACATGATGTTCTAACATCAGTCACTGGTATTTATCTGTTTCTCTTTAACCCAACAAAGCCCTCAGGATGAAATCCTGCTTTCTTAARATGCCATGATGTGTTTGTGAACCAGTAATTATAGGAGGATTTCTCCTGGCCTCAGGGGAGCAGGCTCAGCAGGAGACCTCTGACAGAGAGCTGAACCTTACAGCAGTAACTCGTGCCTTTCTAACATCCTGGTTTAATACATGTGACTGGACCTTCTGTAAACTCCAGCCTGACCTGGGAAAGGATGTGGTGTGTTCGTGTGCAGTGGGACTTTTCATGTCTGTCTTTGGAGAAGTCATTTTCGTTTTTCACAGGATCAGAAACTTGTCTGAACAAGAAAATGACTTTAGTCAAGCTTGGAGTTCAGCAGTTTATTCAGCTTTGATTGATGGAACCCCCCGGGGGTCTTTCTGTACCATGATGATGATGATGATAAGGATCTTCTCACGCTTCACAGGTCAGATGTGACAAAATGATGAATAGATGAGTCCTCAAAGACTGATGGTTTAGATGTATTCAGCTTTTGATTACTGGAGCAGATGAATGAAACGTGTCAAAAAAATAACTTAAATGGCTTCAAACAGGAGGTTGTACAAAACACCTTCCTGAAAACCCAAACACAGATCTAATCAAACACAGATCTAATCAAACACAGATCTAATCAAACACAGATCTAATCAAACACAGATCTAATCAAACACAGATCCAATCAAACACGGATCCAATCAAACACGGATCCAATGAAACACGGATCCAATGAAACACGGATCCAATGAAACACGGATCTAATCAAACACAGATCTAATCAAACACGGATCCAATGAAACACGGATCCAATGAAACACGGATCCAATGAAACACGGATCCAATGAAACACGGATCCAATGAAACACGGATCCAATGAAACGCGGATCTAATCAAACAAGTCAGAAGAACTTTGACTTTCAGGGACTGAACTGTGTTTAGGGTTTTTACCCAATAACACTGAGGGTTCACTCAAGTGTCAAACTTTTAACATTTGATCAGTCRGTCAGTTTTCATCTTTTATCATCACAAACACTCTTTCATTASTTCCTGAGGAGGCAGAGGGAGCAGGAAGAAGAAAAACTTTCCATTCTTCTGAAGGACATTGACCCTGTTGGAGCTGCATGAACTCATGAACCTTACTGAACAGTCTGAGTTGTAATTGGAGTTGCATCATGAAATATAAGAATAAAGGAAGTGTTTGCTGCAGATGRGTTTGTGCAGAAACATGTTCTCAGTTGGATGCTTTGGTTTCTTTCATTCAGCAGAGTTTGTGGTTGAAATCAGACGTGTAGATTCACACTCACACAAGTGAAAATCAAAAAGCAGGACCTTCAGAACACAGCAGCTGCTCGTTGTGCAGATCATGTTGAACCAGTCTAACTCCTGGTTTCAGGGAGCGCTGCTTTAACAGCCTGGAATGAAGTTCTGGTGCCAAMACCTCTGTTCAGAACAAAGACTCCAAATCTGAGGAATTCCCTCCTGTTTGTGATAAACAGCAGTCTTTAGTTCTGCTTCTGAAGAAGCTTTCAAACATTTACTGTAACACACAAGTTGTCAGATTGTATCATCACCCAGGCAGAAA